CCCTTGCCACTTTCAAATCAGGTCTCACCTCCTAACAATACTTCAGTTTGAAAGCCTTCTAAATTTGCCACTACCAAAAATGCATCATCTGTATTCATAAGAGATTTTGTAGGAACATCCAGATCAAAACCACAAAAGAAGTTCAGCAAGAAAAAACAGAAGTAAATATATAAAGAGATACATAAATCCCCAGTGGGATTTGGGTAAGACTTCTTCAGCTTTTCCTAGCTAGAGTTGTTAGGTGCTTTGTGGAAGTGAGCTTCAAATACATAACCAAAATGCTACCAGCTTGATTTGCTACATTAACCTAATTACTAAATTCTAAATCCATATATTGCATTGAAACCACACCTAAAACTGCATGCTACTTACTGGTGACACAGGCTGGCTTGGGAGATAGCATAGCCCCCATGAAGATGGCATTGATACCAACTTTTCCCTCCTGGTATGTCACGGCCCCACCATCCCTGCACTCCAACCCATGTTGACCTGTCCCCTCATAGAATAGATATGATCCACTTTGCCTTTTATAAACTAGCAATTTGGAATGAATTTTGAGAGTTGGAGAGTCAGCAGAAAGGCTCTGTCCAACACAAAATTCTGCCCCATATGCAATTTAAATCAAGTCATTATAGTGACAGAAAAACATGCAACGGACTCAGAATGTATTTTTACTAATAGAATGAGTTTTAAGAAATGAAAACTATAATGTCAGAGTGTAGGAGGGATGGTGTTGTGCAAAACACTGACTACTAACTCGCCATATCTAGAAAGGAGGCAAATGGACCACAGTCTCCTTAGGAAGCACAGAATCCATGCAGTGTTCGGAGAGCATGCTGATGAAAGCCGCTGTACCTCGAGGCAGGCCAGAGCTCTTGGAGCTCAGTGCCACATAGAAAGTAGGTGAGAGACAGTGTGTGGAGACTCAGTCATACTCCGCCTGCCTTTGCAGTCACCTTAACTGTACTTCTCCCTCTTTTGTCTGAATTGATTAGGCGCAATTGAAAAACCCTTGTCTGTACTGTGGGAATTCAAAGTTTCTGTGCAGGCAAGCTTAGATACTGATACCTTTGGCAGCTTCCCTATGCCCACCAAGAGTTTCATTCAGGAGCTACCTAACAGTCAGTGCAGTGGTGTTTCACATTAACTAGCCTGCCTACTTCTTGAACAACTGAGGTATCATGCCACATGATAATAATTGTGCTATTTTCAATTAAAAATTTGAGATTCTTAATTATTTCATTCCACAAAGTTTTCCAGACATTTAGGATATCACAAAAACAATGTACTCTTTTAGGAAATGTATTTTGCATTGTGTTGTTTTCTAAAACTTACCATCCTAATAGAAGTTATGTAATTCAAAGATGAAATTCTAAAAATGTCTTGTTAGGTGAGAGGGGGGACAGAAATATTCATATCTCCATAGGTAGACATAGATACAGAAATCAGAAAGATTTCCTAGCTTTTCTTCTGGGTTTTAACTTAAGTTAGTTGAGTCATGATGTAAATACATTGTGAGTTATGCATGCAAGAACATCAGGTCTCCTACTTAATAATGCCCCCTTTACTGTCATATAAGTATATAAGCTTCGGATTTTTCACAAAATGACAGATGCCCTCATACTGAGAATATGTTTAAACCATCTAGGAAAACTAATATTTATGTTATTAGAAAAAAAGGGAGAGAAAACACCAAGACTGAAGATCAGACAGACAGAAAACAGGCGAGCACCACTCCATCTCATGAAGAAGAATATAAAGACACCTTGCATCAAGGATGGAGGACATGGGCATCAGGGAATTGGAAAGCTCTATTCAGAGAGAGGCCACAGAAAGCAGATGTTGCACTGAGAGAAGAATGTAGCCTTCTGTGCAAGATGCAGAGAATAACTAGGCAGCAGGTCAAGTTCCAGAGTAGAAGCTTATAGCAGAAAATATTCAGGGGAAGAGAGCTGCGATCCTGGAAAGGACTCCGTTTGCACAAAACTCCAGCACAGGAGCAAGGTTAGATTTAAGAGAACACTGGATAGAAGTAAGAGGCTGAATAAAGTGAAAGTCAAGAAAAATTACTACTTTTTTCTTTACTTAATCTTGATTTATCCATTTCTATTCCTTTGCCTTCACATGCTTTTATCCTACTGAGATCCAATTCATAACACTGAGAGGACAATGAATTAAAGGAGAGGTCTGCATCAGGTGGCATTAGTGCAACAGCACAGGTTGGAGAAAATTAGAGATTGGGCTCCACTTCTGCCTCCTACCAGTTGTGTTAACTTACAATAATTTTAAATCAATCCTTTGCTCTGTGAATTTAAGGAGCCATAGGTTGTAATGAGACATGAGTTACATGTACACTATACGGCAAGAAGAGTGAAAATGATTTCTGATATTTAGAGACTGATAGGAGTTAATACTGTTTCATCCCGGATAAAATCATCCAGCATCGGGATCTCTAAATTTGTAAATTCTTGTGTTTCTAATTCAGAAACCATAGTACATTACAAAGAAAAAAGAGAAGTGTAAAGCAATCACACCTACTGAATAAAACCGCACATCTTTCATTGTTAGATTGTCCTCTCAACCTGGATGGCAATTCAGCCTCTAAGAATCGTTGTCAAGACAAAGTTCTTCAAACCTTCCCTGTTGACCTTACAACCCAACCATCTATTCTATATTGCTTGTGTATAATCTCGACAGAATCTATCACTCACTTAAAGTCTGGAGAATTTCATGCAAGGCACCTAATGAAAAGCCCCTTTTTATTGGGATGGCCTCTAGTTCTCCCTCTTCAAGTAAAATGTGGCAACACACAAGATATGCAATGATCTGTGTTACACTCCCCAGTTCTGGGTGATAAAATGTGCTTGAGTAGTGGCTTCTGTAAAGCTCACCTGAAGGGATTGCTTCCTTCATTTCCTGTAGTACTCTGGAAAAAATGTTCAGCATCTGGTGAAACCTATGTGTTCAGCATCACTGAAAACAGAGGCCAAGACACCTTGCTTTCCGGCTCAGGTATAGATTTGTCTCTTCTTTACCCACTATGCTACGCTTATTCTCAGCAGTGTTCTTTATTGTCTTGAATGATCCTGTAATTTTACCACATCTGTTGAAATCTATATGCTAAAGACTTCATCCTCTATACCTGCATGTATATTTAAGTCTGTAAGGTAGGTAGCCATATTACTAAGGTTTTGTTACTAAGATTTTGTTGGACCATTGAGCAGAATAGTTTGAACTTTCATTGCTTGACTGTCTACTTTTTATGCTTCAATTTTGGGTCTTGAACAAATATTTCTAAGCTGACAATATATAAATTATCAACTAGTGATTTCTTAGCGTTAATGTTTTTGAAATTCTGTACTATTTCTACCATTTTTCCGTCTTGATTTTTTTTTCTTTAACAAAAAAATGACTTCATTCTTTTTCACCATATGGTATCTAAAGCTTGGTCCCTTAGAAAGTGGATGTTGGGTTATAAGAATGTGTTCCATATTCTGATTTTTATCCCTTTGAGAGGTGAGGCAATCTCCCCCCCCCTCTCTCTCTGTCTCCCTCCCCCCTCTCATTCTGCTCTTTCCCATTTTGTCAGCTCTGGTCCCTACTCCTAATCCTCCTTACCCCTCCGCCTAAAAGCTTCTCTCCTTTTTACCACTCTCCCCCTCTCATCTCCTTTCACCTTCTTCTTCCTCCCAATCTCCTCCTGTTTGGCCTTCCCCATTTCTGTCCTGCTCTATCCCTCCCTCTCAAAATATGCAATATTGATATGAGGAAACAAAAAGGAGGTAAGTGTTCCACTGGTTTTCCACAATTCCTTGAATAGATCTGCTTTTCTGTGACAACATAATCAGAAGCACTGGTTATCTAATGTTACAGTGTTTCTTGGTGAGGCTTTGGAAACATAATTAGATTTTGATGAAACTTGGAATGGGTGGATATGCATGCTGTGATGTATAGCACCTTTAAGATTCCAAAAATATAGTCTAACAAATTGCTAGTCTTCATTACAACTCTTCTCTCAAAAATTCTAAACAGAGAAGCAAAAACTCCTCTACTTCACCATTCGAGTACTATTAAACATCGTGTCAAAAATCAGAGGCATGACTAAGGTGTGTAGAAAAGACTAATGAAACATAAGAAATAATTCACAAAAATTTTATTTTTACTTTCTACAACCATTTGAAACCTCATATAAAAATTCAGTTCCTTAAAAATCACAAAGTACTAAGAGAATTCAGTAATTTATCATATTTGAAATGTTTCCTCCACCATATTATTCTGCATACAGTAGGATTATTTACTATTTCCATGAAAAATTCCCTATAGTAATATTATATTTTCTAAACTGGAAGTGTGAAAAATCTGATTTTTTAAGTTGTCCAGTCTAAAGTGTTTTGTCCTAGTGGAAAGAATTGATTGAGAGGAATGGATGTCACAATCTTTACTCAACAAAGGATGTAGTAGCATTAACTCAGCACCTCTAACTTTAGCCCACCCCATTATTAAACAAAAATCATATCCTAGCAGAAACATGGATTTTCCAAAGTCCCACATTGCTCCCTTAGGAAATTGTGTCATTGTGCTCAATGACACCTTCACCACTTTCATTCCTTTGTTGGCACAAAAGAGTCAACAAGAAGTTCAACAAATTTGCTATAAGGCTACTGAATCTAGGTTCAGAATTTCTAGTGGTGGAGACTGGGTCTCCATTATGTGAGTACAAGTGCACTACCACAAAGCTTGCCTTAGAGGATACAATTAATATGTGCTAAGTTGCACTCGAGGTATAAGGGCAAACTAATAAAGATTTATGCACAACTTCCAGGAATGCATAAAGAAACAGTTTAAAACATTGAATTCCATAAATGAGCAAGAAAACAAAAAAATGAACATGTCGTAAAAGTTTTCTAAATGGCGTCACCCACTACTGTGGGGTTCTTCAACTTTTGCAGGAAAATTCCCTATAATAAAGCCTACTTTCTTAACCTGGATGTGCTGAAGCTTCAGATATCAAAGGGCTGGAAACCGGTAGCATAATAAGTAGCTGAGGTAATTGGCCGAGTTATGATAACTGGGATTGGTTTGGCAGAAAGCACCGTTTGGAGTTTTACAACCACATCTCTTCCAAAATCTTCATAAAGAGATGAGAAGTAGGTAGGAGAGTTCTTATTGATCCGGGTCAAAAACTTCATGATTTTCTCCTTGGTCGTCTCTGCATTGGCTTTGGGACCCCACAGGAACTCATGGCGTGGAGGAACACTGCCAGGCACCTGCCTGTACTCCAGGTATTTTAGTCTCACAAAATCTTGTGTGAGGAGCCTCTTGGGCTCTCCAAAAATGTTGTGCTTCTTGCCAGGATACACTTGGATCCTTTTCAGGAATTTCCAGATGTCTTCTTCAGCAGCACAGTGGTCCTTTATGAGGATCACAGCGAGGATTTTTATCAGAAGCCCGGTCTTAGGGTAGCCCCTGCCAGGGCGAATCCTCCCATTGTTGGGAAGGCTCAGTATGCTGAAAAGGTTGTAGGAGTGACGGGTGGAATCTACTTCTCTCACTTCCACTGCAAAGACCGCCTCCACGTGGTCACAGACCTTCTTGAAGATACCAGGAAATTGATATCTGTATGGTAGACTAATGGATTGCACCAAATCTTGCCTGGTAAAAGGCTGCCTCAAATGAAATTTTTGGAGTATGCACCATTCCAGCGTCTCAATGTGGTAATCAGGATCATCTGAGAAACAGTCAGTGGAGAGACTGGCCAGAGAAAAAAGCTCCTCACGGTCACAACTGGAAACACTGTCTGCATTGACAGAGTGACCAGAAGAGAGAGCGCCAGGAGATGGTGATCTCCTTGGAGGTGTCAGGGGAGGCCTGCAGGGAGAGGCATCAGCTGGGCCCCGGGTCAAAGAAGACTCCTTTCCCTTTTCTGGTTCATTTCTTCCTGCAGCTGCAACTGCTGCTGTTGCTGCTTTCGCTACAGATGTTGCTGCTGCTTTAGTTGCTCCTTTCCCTGCAGCTAGTGCTGCTGCTTTTGCTGCTGCTTCTTTCACTGCAGCTGGTGCTACTACTTTCGCTGCTGGTTTCCCTGCAGCTGCTGCTGCTACTTTGGCTGCTCCTGCAGTGACTGCAGCTGACGCTACTGGTTTACCCGCTGCTTCTGAGGCTGAAGCTGGTGCTGCTGCTTTTGCTGCTGCTTTCACTGCAGCTGGTGGTGCTGCTTTTGCTGCTGTTTTTGCTGCAGCAGCTGCTGCTGCTTTTGCTGCTCCTGCTTTCACTGCAGCTCGTGCTGCTGCTTTCTGTGGTGCTGCTGTGGCTGCAGTGGGTATGGCTGCTCTCACTGCTGCTATAGCTGAGGCTTCTACCTCTCCTGCTAGTGCTTTTGCTCTGAGTGTTCTTGCTTCCTGTGCCACCTCAACACCCCGCATGTCACCTTTGGCCTGTGGGCGTTTCTGACAAGCATGACGTTTGCTCTTGTGACCATGAGGCATGATGAATCTGCTTAGGCCCAAGAAGGAGGAATGTGGGGAAGAATTTTTGTGCTGCAGGCACCTGGAGAAGGGAAAAATGAGGTTTTGTTAGCAACTTTGGCAGAGAGATCTCTCTTTGGAGTTAACCGATGCTGCTCATGCAGGTCTCTGTGAGAGTGGTGCTCCAGGAACCAAGAGTGGACCTGTTTTCTCAAGTGTGTCCTTTCACTGGTGTTCTGGAGTGCTAAAAGGACTGCATATTGGTGTCCTGTGTTTATTGTGTTGGGTCATATTTGATTGGTAGCACAGATATAACGAACTACACAGAGGTCCTGTATTTCTCATGTCTGCTACACAGAATCTGACTCATTCTTAAAAATGTAACATTCTGTATCTCACATCCATAGGGAAAGAGTGGAAGAGATTCTAAGGCAAACACCATGTGATGGACTCTGCCCACTGAGATTTATGGGTAGCCATCCTTCTCTCTCATGGGCTGAAAAAGTATGTACTTCTTGGAGCTGGGGATTTAGCTCAGCGGCATTAAGTGCCTGCCTTGCAAGCAGACAGCTGTGAGTTTGATCCCTGGTACCGATAAAAACGAAAAAGACGAAAAAAAATGTACTTCTCATCCAGAAAAGTCTCCTCATCTCCAGGGCCTGCCTTTTACTGCTGCATGGTATTTGAATCTTCTCACCAAATATGCTTTATACAACATTTGCTATTCAGCAGTGACTAAGAGAAATAGCCTGACACGTGTTTCTTGGGCTTGGGATGCTGAATGTATGGATTAGGGTGTGGTTCTGTGATGCCCACTCAATCAAGGGAGATCTTTTCCACCACTCATTTGACCTCTGAAGCCTTCCTTTACATGGGACCTCTGTGGTGCTGCTCTTTATGCTGAGACTCTTTGGGAGCATATGACAGCCACATTCCCTTCCTATATTTGTCAAATTGGAGAAGGAATAGATGGTATTGCTTTGAGTTCTTTATTCTTCACTAATTATATGCTTTGATATATTAGTTTATATTTTCTCATTCAGCTTCTCACATTACAGACACTACATTAGGGCAACCTGTGTAGGTCAGATTTGTTTCTCTTATGAGTATGGTCTGTGCTTCATCCATTAATTATAAACATGTCAAATTCATCCTTTTCTATACCTGAGTACTGCTACAATTCATAAGATAACCAACTCTCTTTGCCAATGCCTGAGTTCATAGGATTTGCATTGTTACCAAGTCTTAGCTATTATAAAATAGAAATTGCGATGATGAGGGAAAGGATCAAGTCAGAATTACAGAACAAAAAATACATATAAATCTATATATACACACAAGTCTGTTAATGTATGTACACTGCTAGTTTCTCTTACAACATTTAAACAAGGTTTTAGCTAATACCGTTTGATCAAGATATCATGTCTCTATCTTGTACCTGGAGTAATCATTCTGACAACATCAGTGCACCTTGGGTTAATTATTTTTATTCTGCTAAGTGGTCTTCAAATTTTGCATTCGTTTTTTCTCTTATCAAAATAAAATAAAGCAAATGTGGATTTTTGTATAATGGAGTACTACACTCTCATAAAAAAGGATTGGTGTGACATATTTTTTAATAGATACACCTTGATAGCAAACTGTTAAGCAAAGCATACCAATAACTCATATTCCAATATAAAATATCTGAAAGAAAATGAAAGATTTTTTTTAGTTATTGCTTGTTTTTTCACACTGATCTCAGCCCATTCACTCTCTAAATTACAAGAATATATAGAAATGCTCCTATTGTGGACTTTGGTCCAAGCACTTTATAAAAAGTCTGTCCCCACAATTAGCCACACCTCCTAACCCATATCGTGGAGAAAATTATTGCCAGTCACAAGCTTATTCCTCATCCTAGGTTGCCACCAGCCATAGGTGGCCTGGTCCTCATATGGGGAGCTCAGGGTGACTCTTGAACAGCTGAAAATCTCCCTCATGCTGACATGAAGCTCCTCGGCTCAGCCTGAGATCCCCATGTCCCTGTTACCCTCTTGATGGCAAACAGTCTGATGGTCCCACTAGTGTTCCCTGGAACTGACCATAGGACAAGCTGTGCCCATCAGTCTTGTTGGAACCCCAATCTCCTGAGCACTGACTGGTGCTACTGTCCTCTTGATGCCTTGATTAAACGATGGTCCTTGTGCTGACCCTGACCTCGGCCCTGACACTCGCTGCGAGGCTTTCTGCTCTCAGATCACGCGAGACCCCAGCTCACATGTGCCGCCCTCCATTTTGGCCGCGCGCTGCTCAGCGCCCTAACGGTCTTCTTGGCTTCTAAGCTTAGGTTACATGGACCCCGGAGTTAGCGGGACCTCCTTTCTTCTCCTGCACTAGAATACACACTGGTCTTTAACCTGGCCATCCCGAGATCTCAGACTGGCAAATACCAGCCTGTCTCAGCCAACCTGTGCTCTTGGGCGCTCCCCCACCCCATCCACGCGGAGGCTTTGTGAGGCGGGGCCCACACCCCCTTCCCAAGCCAGTGTTTCTCCCCTCTCAGGAGAGGTTCTCACCTCCTCAACCAAGCCTGGGTCCTTTTGCTAACTTTCGCAGTACCGGCAGCAGTGGGCGCAACCCCTCCCTTGCTGAGGTCCTCAAAAGGGAGCAGTCTCTAGCGCCTCCCCTGTTTAAGGCCCTGGAGAGGAGTGCAGCAAGGACAGCTTCTCTGGCGCCCCCTCCCTGTGAGTGTGCAGGGCTCCCATATTCTAACAGGCGATTGGTCAGAGTCATGTGGGTGAGAGCTTCTGGCCCCTCCCTCTGCCACGCCTCCTTATAGGGCTGCCTGGCGTGAAGAGATCCTCCTTGCAGAGTTAGCCTCCCCTTTGTAACAAGTGCTGAGACCTATCAGCCAGTGAAGGGAAGACCCTGCCTTAACCCTCTTATTCCTGCATTGGGTTTTCTCAAACAGTAGGTTTCAATGCCCCAGGCCTGGCACTTTGCACTTTAAAGGATTTCGTGATGATGCTGAACCCCTGAAAATTTTTAAGTATTGCCTCTTTTCAGATTAGGACACTAGCTCTGTATCTCACGTCTGATATTATTTAGGAAACCTGAAATACAATGTTGGGTATTTGGTATTCCATGTGTTTGTCAGGAAAAAAACACGTTGTAACCTTTTTGTCTATTTATTGTCAGGCTCAATGTTTCTATTATTTTTGTTCTGCAAGAATTAGTTCCTAGTGTAAATTGTCTCAGGGGGATAATTTGAGATCACCGTCTTAACAGTTACTTACAGTGCTTAGGTAGATTGTTATATTCTTAGAAAACTTTTTTTCTGGCTTCCTTCATACAGACTTCCAATATTTTTATATGATTGCTTTTACAATTGATTGAAATATGTTTGGGTGTCATATTTTGCGCATTTGTGCATAAAAAATTTATTTACATGCATTTATGTATCATTGTATTCTACATAATAAATATTCATATTTATGTGTATACTTTAGAGTATTTATACAAAAAATGAAGCTACACAACTACTAATTAAAATTAAAATTTTGTAATTATAAATATTTCTGGGATACATATTTTATATAATATTGTGTTATATATTTATATTTACATGTATGCGTTTTAGAGTAGTAAGCAATAAGATAAAGGTACTCATTTCATTTTCATTTATAATTGTGGATTGTTGTAAACTCTTGATGAGTGTTCTTTATGGAACTTTCTTAGCTCTGACACTTACCACATTGAGAATACGAAAATGTTAGTAGGTGTTATCAGTCCATTTCAGGTGACCATCTTGTATGTGCACTGCGTATTCTTGTCATTTGAAATTCCTATGTTCAAATCCTTCCACTTACAATGTCTGTGGAATATTTAATAACTGCTTAAAGTGGAATGTTTAATAACTGCTTAAGTTTGGAGAGACCACCAAAGGTGGTAACACAGCCACTGTGCTTATAGGAAACCAACGGGAAGTTTATCTCTCTCCTCCAGCAGGAAGATTTCCAGTGCACACCTCTAAGGGAAACCAATATCCTGATACCTTGATCTTGAAATTATCAACTTTAAATTGATAAGCAATATTTTTTTGCTTGATCACCTAATGAATTTCAATTGTCTTCTTGAAGCAAGAAATCAAACAAATCAACTTTGTAAGCTCATATATATATATATATATATATATATATATATACTGACAAGTATTTTATGAGTTATTTTTGTATTGATATTTATACAGATAATTTCACACTTCGCTATAGTTATTATTTTAATTCAGGCTGTGTCAAAAAGAGAATTATATTCAAATAAACACATTTAGGCTAAAGTCTGCTTTAGCAAATAAAATTAACATTTTTCATCAAGGTATCTGTTACTTAATTTGGAATTTGGGTGTCCATTCCTCATGGATACAGATCAAATCTGCTAGAATGTCATCAAGGCCCATCTCGATAGTGTTCCCAACAGCACTTCCTACTTAGCTTCCTGTAATATTATTTATTTCTTCCTCAAAGATATATAGAGACCTGCCTTCAAATTTGTAAATTACACTGGCAAACTAGTTAGAATGTCCCTGTGTGCTTGCTTCTCCAGTTCAAAGCTGAATATGACCATACCTGGCTTTTGAGCATCACTTTAAAAACTTCAGCCATATTTTTGGTGCCAGTGCCCACTAGGATCATAACCCAAGAGGTCAGGCCCAGATCTCTCACTGAGGGGTCAAAATGGGGTTGCAATGGAGAGTAGAGAACAAAATGGCTTGGCAATCAGAGAGTGATTCTTACAATATGTATGATAGTGTACATTCTTGAATTATAAGGATGAGATACCTCTGGAAGCTGTAACGTAAACTATACTTTACTGGAGGTTACTTGGGAAACAAAGGTGGGGGAGGGTTTCTACCATGACTTTAGAAGCTCCAATCACAGTTACATCACATTACGGCTGTATTCAGAGGCATTTTTATTTAAACAATATTTGCACAAAATCCAATATAATCCTAATAAAATATGAATTGTTCACCCTTTCAA